TGCCGCGGAGCTTGGTGAGGGAGCTGTCGGCTGGGCGGCGATGGCGGCTGGGTCGGGAGCTGTGCCTCATGTGGGTCTGCTTCGACGTGCTGTGCTGCACGGCCAGCATCTGGAACGTGACTGCCATCGCCCTGGACCGCTACTGGTCCATCACCCGCCACCTGGAGTACACGCTGCTCACTCGCCGCCGCATCTCCAACGTCATGATCGCTCTCACCTGGGCCCTCTCCGCTGCCATCTCCCTTGCCCCCCTCTTCGGCTGGGGGGAGACCTACAGCCCTGAGCAGGAGCGCTGCCAGGTCAGCCAGGAGCCTTCCTACACCATCGTCTCCACCGGCGGGGCTTTCTACCTGCCCCTCTGCGTGGTGCTGTTTGTCTACTGGAAGATCTACAAGGCGTCCAAGTTCAGCTTGAGGGGCTGCAGGAAGAACGCCGTGGTGCCCCTGCCCGAGGCTGCCCAGGTAAGGGTTGGGGACGGGGAAGAAAGCCCCCATTGCCTCCCCCAGGCACCTGCGCTCCTGCCGTCATCTGCTCCCAGCTGTCACCCCTGCATCGGTGGTTTCGGCACAGCGAGAAGACAGAGACGTGCCTTGGGGCTCTTGTGTGAGTTTAGCTCTGCTACAGACCGGGCATGGGTGGTAATTACCCAGTCAAAAAGCACCACTCTTGGAGAAGAGTTTTATTTTCTTTTTTTTTTCTTAAGTGTGCCATAAGAGTAAGTGGCAGGTGCATTCACTGACAGTCTGGAGAGCCATTTAAAAATTGTCTCTTTAGTCTGAATTTGCCATTCCTTGGGTTTTTTTCTTTTTTATTTTTTTACAGTGTTGATGGGGTAAACAAAGACATAAACAGATCCTTAGGTCATGTCCAGCGTGAATGCAGGTACATTTCTCTACAAGCACGACTTTGTGTGGGATCTATCAGTGTCTGAATAGATTTTAATAAGCAAATTACACACCTTATTTATGTGCTTGGGCTGTTTTACCTTGAATACCGGGAACATCCTGCTCACTGCATGTTATTGAAGCAATGAGCAATAAATTGTTTCTATTTTAAAATTACCAGCTATCTTAAAAACCACGTCTTCCTCCTTCTTTTCCCAAACATTGCCTGTAATCCTGCAAAGCCCTAGTCATGTGGGAGGTCTCATTCATTTTGGGGATACATCTAGTTGACAGGAAAGCTGTGACCCTGCGGAAGCGTTGGGGCTGGCCCCTTGTGTCCCATTAAATCAGGCTCTCTGCATGACAACGCCGTCACCCATGCCATGTCACGAAGGTGCTCAGTTGTGCTCTGTGTCAGCTCTCTCTGCTTTCTGTCACATACTCTTACTCTCACTTCTATGTGTGGAAATGGTACTTTACAGTACGTTTTTGTGATTGCATGTTGTACTTTCTAAGTCCAGTCCCTTCCTGATAACAAAAGCTGTGTGGGTGTTAGAGGTACCTGCAGAGGCGTGGAACATTTCTGTTAAATTTGGGCTAATCCTGCAGAGCCTCACTCCCCTGCTAAATCCCTCTAACTTTGACTTGGAATCATGGTACAAAACATGTTATTATGGTCACAAAGAAAAGCCTGTAGGTTGTATCCCCTGATTCTAGCAAGAGATGACAGCACTGGCAATTATACGCAGTCAGATTTGCAGATTGGATCACGTCTTGAAGATGTTTTTAATATAAATTGATTTATGAAACTATCTTATATGCAAAAGCATAACACGTTAGAAAAGATTAGAGTGTCTCCTCTAGTGGCATTTTTTTTTTTTCCTACAGCTTTCATCCCCTGGTTTGCACCAAATTTCTTTCCAAGTTGTTGTAAGTACGATGAATATATTGCTTGGAGTTAATGTATAAGCTTTCCAAGCACAAAAGCTAACTGAGTATTTGTAGTGGTTTTGCATGCTTTATCTTTTACATACACACATACTCATACAGGACTACTTGTTTGGAATCTAAAATTCTGGGAAGCTAAATGCACTGAGGAATTGCTGCTTAAATTTTAGCCTGTACAGAGACACGTTGCTGGTATGTCAGTTTTAACATGAAAAAAGTCTGGCTCCTAATTGTCATAGTTCTGTCTGCAAACGCCCTTGCGTGGGCACGGCTGGGCTGGCAGGTAAGTGCTTTATGCTGATGCAGTGTCTGGGAGCTGGTTTAGGCTATACTGACAAAAGAGCTCCTGTCAGCGTGAGCTGAATACCCATTTTGGAGACGTTGCCAGTATAGCTGTTACTGCAATACCAGCAAATGCTCAAGCCAGCAGTTCTTCATCTTTCTTTCATTTGCAGTGATTGACATACTGACTTCTCCTTTTATAACAGCAATTCTTGAATCTGCAGTCGGTGTATAGCGGCAACCTTCCCCACTGTCCCAGCATCTTTGTTTGCTGGCTTAAATAGACTTTTGTGATGCACATGCAAACCCTTACTCGTTCTCTAAAGGAAGAGCTGATGCCCAACTGCACACGTGTACATTAAATGAACCCATGGATCAAGGGAGCTGGCATTCAGGATGCATTTCTTCTCAGTTTTCTAAGTTAAGAGACTGAAACTTATTCACCATGTTTTATCCTGATGCCATTTCAGCTTATAGGAGCAGGATCCATCATGTCCACAGGAAAAGCAGCAGTTCCTCAGTGAATTCTGGCAAAGAATCTTCAGACACATTACTGCTGTTCCTTTGGCAGAACCCATTTTTTATTTAACATGCAAACACAAAGATAACATTGCCAAGGTATGCGGCAAACTTGATGCAGTGATCCAGCTTTGCTTCTCCACATCCAGGGGTCATTAAGCTATCGGTGTCAGCGCTGATGATGGGGCAAATTCTGTTCCACTTACCTTGTTTTGCCCATCAACTTATTCTGATTTCCCATTTCTTTCTCCTCTAATGTCTCTCTGCCTTTACTTTCTTTACCCCTTCCTTCTCTGAGAATGCTCACCTGTCATGCTCATCTTGCAAGATTTTTCTTTTGTCACTGTTACTCGGAGTGTGAAGGGCCCTCTGCATCTATGTCAGTGCTTGACTCGCGTGCCCTGCAATAGCTGATCTGACATTAGAGGGGCTTTCGGCAGCCAGTGCCAGAGGCTGGCAGTGCTTCCCAGGCTGGAGGTGAGTAGTAACAGCGTCGTCCCTGCTGGGAGAGATGTCTGAGCTGCACTCGAATTAGCTGTCGGGTAGTGCTGAGTGGGAACGGCGTGCCAGGGCTGCGGTTTATGGCCTGAGGTATACCCAGCAGTGTAGCTGGTTAATACTAGCAAGTGCCGTTTTAAATCAATGAAGTCACTTGTAGCATAGGTTTTGCCCAGCAAGAACAAGGACGGTAGAATCTGAATGTCACCTTTACTGGCATGTAGCAATTTGCAGGCTCAGGATTACATTTCCATGTGAGGAGTTAGGAATCAAGTTGTGTTAATGGTTGGTTTTCTGTTGCTTTTTTTCTTCTTTCTCCCCCCTCAATGTACCTTCTATAGCGTATGAGTAATTAGGCCTGATCCAAACCTTACCACTTTTGTGTGAGTCCTTCCCACTACTTAGATAGTATTAGGCCCCAGAGCTCCAGCGGTGCAGTGTTGTTCTGCACCTTGGCCCGTTCAGCCTCTCCAACCCATGTAACCAGTTAGGACAATATGGGAGAGAAAAGAGATTTTCCTTCTCTGAAGGAGTCGCAATCCTTCTATTTCTTATTTCTGCCTTTGACTGTACAAGTTGAAGAGATGGGTCAGAAAACAAAGTGCAACTGTCCAGCAGAGTGGCAGCAGATGTCAGATAGGAGAAAGATGAGTCAGGAAGTAAAGTGGAGTGGCTGATGATTTCCTGGAAGAACTGCAGAGCTATTCCTGCTTATAGAAGGAGAAAATCCTGTGAAAGACAGTAGGTGTTCTTTTCCCTGTCAGATGTACTATACGTCATATTGGTGGAGCATCCAAGAAAGTGTAGACGTTCCTATGTTTTGATCCTTCATTGTGCATTTCAGTTTCTCATGTTCTTGTTCAAAGAGCAAGAAATGTGCCAAAGTTGCACTGAGGCAGTGATGATCTTTGCTGAATCATACTGTAATAGGCAAAACTCTGAATTTGTGGTAGTAAGCCAGATTTGATTGATGTTTATCATCTTTACTGTTGTTCTGTTATTGCAGACCCGGGAGGTATAGTACAAACACATACACAGTATCTAACAGGAAGGGCCAGTAATAACAATCATTAAAGCTATAAGGAACATTTTAAATCAAGGGATTTCATCAGAAGCTTCTTGGTGGCATGTTTTTTAGAACACTGCTAGGAACACAGGAGTTGGGAACATACAGCTCTAGGAACGTACAGCCATTCAGCAGTAGTAATTTATTGGGGACAGACAAATAACAGAAGTGGCATTGAACTGGTAACTGCTGATCAACATACAGAAGAATGAATTCTGAAACTAAAACCGAACTCCTTTGTGTCTGTAGAAGAATTTGTACTTGAGAGCTCTTTGCCTTCATTTAACACTTTTTATGATATTCTCACTGGAAAGTGGTCATCTCTGCACTTCTCAGAGCCTGTTGTCCCGGAAAAAGATGATTTCACGAATTCAGAACCTAATTCTGGCCTCAGGGTAGCAGTCCTTTTATACCAGCTTTTTTTCCTACTGCTCCTGACTCGCAGCTCTTGGAGCAGAGGGAATGAACTCTGTGCCCGAGGCATGGTGTGCTGCTAGCCCCCGAGTGAGAACAGCGTGCAACACCGTGCAGAGATGCTCACATAGGAGAGGTGTCCCCAGCATAAACTGGGGCATCTTCCTGGATTGCTTTAATTTATAGTCTGTGACCACCTTTTCTGCTGTTACAGCCTGTTCGTTAGTGCTCATCAGGAGGCCCAAAATGGGGGGGAAAGTTTGATATTGGGCTTGTCCTTTGTTCCACATGGTACAGGGATAACAGTCAAGCATTGTGACTTATGTTAGAAATTGGTGCCCAGCAAAGCCACTGGGATGGGCACTGGAAACTGCAGATTTGGTATAGTCAGAGCTGTGTTTAGTCCAGGAAGACCACAACTGGCGAGGCTGGAAAGCAGCTACATAGTCTTCTTGGCCTGGGCTCTTGTTCAGACAATGCCAAATTACAGTGGACTACCCCATGCCTGCATTAGGGAGGAATCCTGTAGCAGGGTTCCTGCGCCAGCACTGTGTACTGCAACAGCGTTTGCCTACAATAGACTAGTCTCCTTTCCATGTACTTTGTGTGGGTTGGCTTATAACAAACAGCCTTGGTAACATAGTCTTGGGGGATGATAATCTTGCACCAGCCAGGCCGGGGAGATGAGTCAGGTCTGCATCAAATCATATAGAGAGAAATAAAAATCAAAAAATATGAAATTATAATGACAAGTTGTACTTTCCCAGCTTTGCAATCTGCAGCGATACATGTTTTCTGATATGAACAGCACTTCAGATTAAATCTGTGTTTAACTTTAAAAATCTAGCGGGCTTGTCCCCTGACGAACGAGACGCTGGCAGTCCTGCAGTAGGTGTATATGGTGACCAGGCAGGGAGGGAGCACAGTACCGCAAAGCCAACGCGTTTGCGGGGGCACTGAGCAGGGGAGCGTTGAGCGCAGGGCCTCGCTAGAAGCCGTCTGGCCCCTGTTGCGCTACTACAAGCCAGGAGCAGCTGGCCGGTGGACCTCGGGTCTGCCAAGCGGCAGCGCGCTCGCCGGGGGCCGGCGCGTGGAAGGGTACCCCATGCTGGGAATGCCCGAGAGGCAGGTTCCCTGGCGGGCGAGCCTGACGGAGAGCCAACTGCGCGAGGGGCATTCACAGCGTGCGGCGGCTGGTCAGCTGGAAACGACGTATGAGGTGAGCATTAGACACTGATGATCACGGAAAACTGGGCTTTCGTAACGCTTCTGTAAGTCATGGTGAAGGCACAGGCTTGAAGGACCTTGCTGAGCAGGGATACTAGTTACCTTTTCAAGAACATTTTGTGTATTCTTTTCAAAGGATTTCTTATGGAAAATTGAAGCGAAATCTCTGCAGTCTGCCAGGGATATTTACACAGTTCACTTACTTAATGGAAGGTTCTGTGAGAGATCCCATTATGTTTCCTAAAGCATCAGGCTGCTGTTTGCACTTCTATTATTATTACTGTTATTATAACATTATTCAGAAGTCCCAGGCAGAACTAATCAAAAAACAGTTGAAAAAACAGCTACAACAACATAGAAAGTAGAGATTATAGGAAGACAACTGCTGTCCTGTAATTTACAAAAAATACCATGATCTGTTTTCACTTCCTGTCTAGTATTCAGAGGCCTGATCTGTGAAAGTGGAGTCTGTGAAAACTTCTCTGATTTCAGTAGGAGCTTGACCAGGCTGTAAATGCATGCTTCATTAGGGAAAGCACCTGAGGACTGTGGTATCTTCTATCAAACTAAATGAAATACCTTTTTCTCACAATATGTAATTAAGTGATAAAAGAGATGCTACTAGTAGATTCCACAGTTCAGTCACAAGCCTTCTAAAACGTGAAGTACCAAAAAGAAAAGGCTCTGATTTGATGATGACACACTGCAAGCTCTATCTTTTGAGGAAGAGTTGAAGGTTAAATATAGTACCAAACTATGCCTGATGCTCATGACAAAGTCCTTTGTGTGGCTCTTCCCAGGAGGCATACTTACTTAGGTAGCTATTCCTCAGGGCTAAGACGTAATCTTCCAGGGTTGCTTGTCACAAATTTGTCCTCGTGTCACACATTCATCCCTTTTTGCAGAGTGTGATTAAGGATGTGCAGAGCAAGTCCTTCTGCAGACAAATGGTGTGATCCTTGCTACATGAGGGGTGTCCCATTTTAATTGTCAGGACAGATGTGATTTTCATTTTCTTCCGTTATTTGCCTGCACCCATAATCTGCTGCTCTTGCATTCTGCAGCCATGTCTCATGTCTGAGGGTGAAGACAGGGATATCCATCTTGAAGAGTGATTGTTTAGCCATTGCCAGTGCTTCCCTCTCCGAGTTGCTGTGCTCATATTAAATAGAGGTCCTCCATCTATTACAAAGCTTGCACAAAGGTGGCACATGCATGTGGAATATGTAGCCAACTTAACAACAAGCCATTGTTGGAGCGGTGTCAAAGTCTTGCAGTGCCTGTGAATTATCACTTAGGCAAATTTTGGAGCCTCAGGTTGCATCCTTAAACTGTTTATTTTATTGTGCTGTAGTGCCTAGAAGAACTTTAAACTTGCAGATACTTTAATCTTCAGATTAAAATGACAAGGGAGTATCGTTTTCTGGTTTGACTCTAAGCACATTAATAACTTGTGCCCAGAACCTATTGTCCACGGTGTCACTGCCACGCAGAGCACTGGCCTGTACTCGCTGCACAGATGAATGGCTCGCCCTTGGTGAGAGAGGAGGAGACAAGAAGCACTGTCGGCGGCCCGGGGTAGCTGACGTTTTCCCCTCTCTTGTGTAACTTCTGCTGAAGCCAGAATTTGAACTGAAGGCTGATTGAAATGGTGTTTTTCTGGCAATGGAGTACTGGTGAGAATACCAAGTAGATCTGAGTGAAACAGGTGACAGGAGAGAGAAAACGAGTACCAGAAAATGCTGCTTCTCCAGCAAAGCTTGTCTTTGATTACTACCAGAGTATTTTATAAGCTAATTCAAAATGGTGGCAGAGTGCCTGAAGGAGGGTACATCATTTCGTGTATGCTTATGCTCCCTTATGCTCCCAGTGTCATATACTGTGTTGTTGCTGTGACCAGGCTGCAGCTGGTGCAATATGCTGCTCTGTCCCTCTCCAGGAGGGAGAAGTACCTGTGGTGAGATAGCCTCTGTCAAGGAAGAGCAGACGGCACCCGAGTTCTGTCTTTCATAAGGGACTCTTCTTGACGAACGTTTGACTTTCCACTGAAGTATTTCCAAAGTATTCAGTTTTATTTCAGGCATTTAGGATTTTTTGGGGGTAATGGAATATCAGCATTTTCCAAAGATCAGACACATTTCTTAAAACTTTCCATTAATTGATAATCTTTCATTAAAAAAGGTTCTGATGGAAAAATATTCCTGCAGATTTTAGCTGAGTGTTTTGGGGTGTGCTCTGTCCCTTCTGTAGAACAAGTGGTAGCGTCAAGCTCCGGCACCCACCAGGGATGGGATTTTGAGCTCTGCGTCCAGGCAGTTAGGCTGAAGAAATTAGCTTTATCTTGTAGTTGACGACTGGGCATCTGGTGCAGCATCCATCTAATGCAATGGAATGAAATTCATTTACGATTCGAGCCCGGGAAACCCTAAAGGTCATGTCGCAGCGTAGGTGAGTCTGGTTTAGGGATAGGCAGAAGGCACGAGCCTTTGTTAGCCTTCCTTAATGACCTGATTTCCCACTAAGGTGTCAAGGCATCCAATATAATAAGCTGAAAAAGAATGCCCACAACACACATGGCATCAGTTACTCTTTATTTAGCTTTGTTTGTCAGTCACACTCTGCAGCTTTTCCAACATAATGAGAAGTCTGGTAATTCTGGCACTCTGGGGCATTTTCTTAGCATGGAAGGAATGGAGTTTGGGCCTTTTGTGGTAGTTGCACAGATGTTGTGCTGTCATTTAAAAGTAATACTTCACTCCAACAAATTGTCTTGGTAAGCATCCATGTTTGCTTTTGTTTCAAGGTGAAGGAAGCTTCGCATGAACCACAGATGGTGTTTACAGCTCGTCATGCAGCTATCACTTTCCAGACAGATGGAGAAACATGGAGAGAACAGAAAGAGAAAAAGGCAGCTCTGATGGTTGGCATCTTAATTGGAGTTTTTGTACTGTGCTGGATCCCTTTCTTCATCACAGAATTAATAAGTCCTCTCTGTTCCTGCAACATCCCCTCCATCTGGAAAAGCATCTTCCTTTGGCTTGGCTACTCCAATTCTTTCTTTAATCCTCTCATTTATACAGCATTTAACAAAAATTACAACAATGCCTTCAAGAACCTTTTTGTAAAGCAGAGATAAAAGGGGACGCAGAGGAGAAAATGCTTCCTTTATTGCATAATACAGAGATTCCTTGAGGGAAACATGCCTGTGATACGTACAGTTTTCACACGCAAGAGCTACCTGAGAGGATTTAGGAACAATGAAAAAGGAAGATGGAAGATGTTTGGATATAAACCTACTGACAATTTACAGTTCCCCCTTGGAAATACATATATGCTGCTCCAGGGTTTGGCAAAGAAGATCGCAGCCGTGAATAGCTCCTGTTCTGCTCTTTGAATCAACATGTGTTAAGGTCTGCAAGCGAAGCACTGCGTGCATCTAATACCACGACTGTCAATCTAACTGGACTGATCCCATCTAACCAGCTACAGGTGCCATGCTGTAGCTCGCTCAGCATCAGCAGAGGCACCAGTGGGAACTGCTAATTGAGCAATACTGAAATGCTTGTGATATGGGCAGGAGGCTGGCTTCATTTTTGAGATATATTTGTAAGGGAATAAACGTGCTGTATTCAATTAGTTGTTGAACTGACGTGAAATTAAAATGGATGACCAAGCTGCTCAAAAACATGCCCTAGTGTGATTGAAGGGACGCGTGTTCTCTAGCAACCAGCAGTCCTTGATGGGAAGTCTTGGTGAAATACAGGTCAGTTACGTACCCTGGGGTTAAGTGAAAATTTAGAGGCAAGTGTAAAATTACTCAGAGCTACGGAGAATGTGCTCACACCACTTGCACAGGAGGAGGATCTAGCATGGCATTTTTACCTGCATTGTACTCCCTCACTCCATAGGGCTCAGGCTCTCCCTGTTTTCCGAAACCCAGGTGAGCTCAAGAGAGACACCTGATACCTATTATTATTTCATGCTACAATAAAACTAAGCATGCATTTGTGTTACAAACACCAAACGTGCTGTATTCAATCACCAGGTTTGCTGGCAGCACCACGTGGCTGCTTGTCAATGGTAGGTGAGTATCTGCACTGCGCTGCCTGGGGTCCTTGCACCATAAATGTTGTGCTCATCTCCGTACCTGACTGAAGTCCACTATTTGTCAGCTTGCATCAACTTCCTCCTCCTGTAAGAAAGAAAGGTATTGATGCCATCAGGTCTAAATGACTCCAAAAAACTCCGAAGTGACTCAAAACCAAGCCTTAAATTGTTTTTTGAAGATCTAGCAAACACCCCTGTCCCAACAATATATGCATAAATAAATTAAGAGAGAAGTATTTCCATGCACACTGCCCAGTCTCTTTCTCTCTCCATATTTGTTCTTCTAGTGGGTTTTACTTCTCTGCTTCCCCGAGAGCAGGCTGCTGACAGCAGAGTAGTTCTAGCATGGCAGCTTTTTAATGACACAGAGTGCCAGTACCCTCTTCCCTCTCCTCCTAAAGCTTCTTTGGCTGTTACAGTACCTAAACATCATCGCTCTGATGGGGCTGGGCAACATCACAACTCCTTTCAAAGCTGAGGTTTAACCTTTTACACTGCCTTTCTCTGCCAGTTTTGTGTTTTCTGCTGCTTAAAGCATCTAACTGAAAAGTCACAAATTTCGGCTCCAGCAATACTACACCACTGGCATCTTGATCTCGCTGCAGCGCATCGCACTCAGCCCCATCTCTGACGGTTACCAAGCCAAAGGGCGTCGCATCGACGCGAGTGCTGACTGCGAAGCTCCTGCCAAAGTCGTGGTATCCTGGCAGTTTCTCACAGGCAATGGCACTAGGTGTATGTCCGGCGGCTCGGGACTGACGTGCTTAACAGCCATGTCGGAGAGGTAGTCTCAAGTAGCTCATGTATTCTGAAAAACAAAAAAATGATGCAGACTTGCTTAACTTTAAAGCAGAGTTTACTGCAATGTAGCCTAAAATGATTCATATAACTGGCGACGTCAAATTGAGCTTAATGTCAGGTATATGGGTAACTTAGACTGAGGCACGTTCCAGCTCCTTTCTAAGTAAGTAATTTAAACAAATGCCGTCAAAGCACACATCCTGCCAGTGCCTTAAGGGAGCGGCCTGGCCTCATCTCACTAGCAGAGTGTACGGTGAGCCCAGGCACTGCTGTCCCTCACACCCTGCAGTACTGTGGAATTCCAGTGTGACTTGCTGTGTCTGCAGCCACAGCCACCTGTGCATCTTAGGCAGAGGATGCTTCTCCTCTCAATTTTAATGGGGCTTAAGAAATGTTAATAACCTAGAATTTCAAAGAGTTGTTAGGCAGTGGCTCAGACTTTTAAATGCCAACACAAATAACTTGTGAATCTCAATTTGCCTGCATGTGGAATAGGTACAGTTCAAAATAGTGTTTGGAGGCTTAATTAAACCAGAAGGAAGACGCATACATAAGAGTCTAGAAGTTACTAAAACGTACAGGCTTTATTCAGAACCATTGATGAATTTTTCAAGTGAACTGAATGTTTCAAGTAAGATAGAGCAGTGACTAAAAACCTTAAAATCCAAACAGATGACATGGAAGGAGACAAGGTAGAAGGTCACCTTAAGCTGGTTGTTGAAAAGCATACAAATCTCCTGCACATGGCCACTTCTGAAGTTTCCAGTAATCATGTTTTGGACCCATTTTAGTGCCTGTCCCCCATCTGCCCAGTAAGAGAAGCCATAACTAGCACGCAAATGCAACACCAGCCCTGCTGCGCTGAAGTGAAGGTGCATCGCAGCCTGTGGCTGCAGCCGCAGAGATTTGTGCCAACTAAGCGCCAGCTGACTGGAAAAACACCAGGCTCTGCTGCAGGAACCCTTCCAAGAAGTGACATGGATTTTGAAGGTACGTTTTACCATGACTCGGCATCTGGAACGTGAGAAAAATGCCATAAAGCCCAAAGGCTCCCGTGCAGGTAGGCGCAGCTGTACACCGCACCGGTATTGCTGCAAGTGCTGAAGCCGCAGCAGGGCTGTCTTCAGCTAGCTTGAGAGCTGGGAGCAGAGCTACCATGTAGCTCTCCACCTCCTCAAATGTGAATTTAGCTGCCTTCAGAGGTGAACCTGAGCCTCTGTAATTTCAGTGTGAGAAGTTCTCAGCTAGTTCAGTGCTCTGCCCAGCCCAGCATCTGTGACAGCCGTGAGTTGTCACAGAATGACAGGCTTCCACTGAGAGCAGCCTGGCGTCATGCTCACCCAGAGGCGACGAGAAACAAGCAGAGCTTTCATCTCGGTACAGTGCAGACTGAGAAAGCTCTTCACAACGTCGGCTTCCCACACCGCCTCCGTGCATGTCTGCGTTTAGAAAAGCGGCGACACATATTCAGGGCTTAAAAGCCTGGATTTTAATCGCGTGGAACCTGAGCTTAGTGTCGGGGAAAGAAATACGTTATCTGAGGTTATGGCCTAACCTGCTGGATGCCGCTTCCCGCTCAAAGCCAGAAGAGGCATTACCATCCTGGCATTAACATCCACTGGCTGCCTGCACAGCAGGAACAGCGTCTTGCCCACCGATTTGTGCGCCAAACCCAGTAACTTGGTGCAATGGGAGCCTAACTGCTGGATAGTCATCAACCTTGATTAAAAAAAGTTGGAACTGTGGATAATTTTCTACCTCCCTGGGTACTTTATTTCTGTGATTAATTACTCTCATTACTAAAACTTGCAACTTCATTTTAATTGAAAAAAGAAGAAAGAGTAAAATCAAGCATGCAAGCTTTCCTCTTTCTGGCACTTCCAGCATTAGAGTTTAGATCTTATGCTACAGCTGCATTGTTATTCTTGGCTTCAAGACAAACCAAAGAAAATATGGAAAAGACAACTCCCATGTGAACTACGATAAATGATACAGTATCCTGAATATACAAATAGACAAAAAAAAAAGAAAAATCAGCTATTCTAAAGAAACATAATTTGGCAGTGCTTAGATGTATGGTCATTTATTTCCCCAAATACAAGTTGCCAAGCCGGAGTACACCAGTCATCTGTGCTTGTACACAGTGGACTACTAGTCTTAATTCTATTTCCTGACACTGAATCTGCTCCCAGGAAAACTCACTGGAGACTGTTGCTCAGCAGAAGGG